AGTGTACACAGTATTTTTGTCTGTACTGCACTCTGATTGGCTGCCATGAGGCACTTCATCAGCCTGTGCGCTCCCTTACTGTTAAATAATCGTGTGACTGTTATGGGGTATCAAAATGATCCTCTGTTGGGATGTCCTGTTAGAGTTAAAGGGGAACTCCAGGATTAAAAAAATAAAGAATCCTTGCAGTGGGGCTACCCACGCACTGCAAGGGTTAACTGCTCGCTTTGTCTAAGGGCAAAAATAAGGAGGATATGCTCACCCAATTCTCAGTCCTGCCTGGCTGCCAGACTGGTCCCCGCATCCTCTTCTCCCCCGGGCTCCAGAAATCTAAGGACCCGTGATGTCATCACATCTACTACTGGTCTATTAGACGTGACAATGCTGAGGGACATACCACAGCCATAGTGGGGGGAGGGGGGGAAGAGAGGTGAGCCGTCACTGCCACAGGATGGAGGATCAGGTGAGTATATCTCATGTGCATGTAACCCTTGCAGTGCTGGGGTAGCCCCACTTCATGGATAGGTTTTTGTTTAAGTTCCCAGAGTTCTTCTTTAAAGGGCCCCTTATCTGGAACAGAAAAGGAGGCCGCCATTGCTGATTGTTCATGTTGCTCTGAAGGTAAGCTGACTCGCTTGGATTGGGCACACCGTCCTGCACAGCTTCATCATCTCATCGGATCATTCCACACATCGCCTGACAACCTGCCAGTCAGTAAAATGTAAATATCATGGAAAAGGAAATTCAAGCAAATGTTGACAAATACGTCACCACTGACAATGTGACCACACGGATATAACACAAAATATGACTTTCTTCTATTTATTGTTTTGACATTTTGTTCTCTTTTTATGTCTGGCTCTAGTTACAATATGAATGTGTTACAACCATCTCCTGCAGCATGATCACTATCTCTGCCATCTCCTGCAGCATGTCTTTAGTCTCCAACCATCTCCTGCAGCATGGTCACTGTCTCTGCCATCTCCTGCAACATGTCTCTAGTCCCCAACCATCTCCTGCAGCATGTCTATAGTCTCCAACCATCTCCTGCAGTGTGTCTATAGTCTCCAACCATCTCCTGCAGTGTGTCTATAGTCTCCAACCATCTCCTGCAGTGTGTCTATAGTCTCCAACCATCTCCTGCAGTGTGTCTATAGTCTCCAACCATCTCCTGCAGTGTGTCTATAGTCTCCAACCATCTCCTGCAGTGTGTCTATAGTCTCCAACCATCTCCTGCAGTGTGTCTATAGTCTCCAACCATCTCCTGCAGTGTGTCTATAGTCTCCAACCATCTCCTGCAGTGTGTCTATAGTCTCCAACCATCTCCTGCAGTGTGTCTATAGTCTCCAACCATCTCCTGCAGTGTGTCTATAGTCTCCAACCATCTCCTGCAGTGTGTCTATAGTCTCCAACCATCTCCTGCAGTGTGTCTATAGTCTCCAACCATCTCCTGCAGTGTGTCTATAGTCTCCAACCATCTCCTGCAGTGTGTCTATAGTCTCCAACCATCTCCTGCAGTGTGTCTATAGTCTCCAACCATCTCCTGCAGTGTGTCTATAGTCTCCAACCATCTCCTGCAGTGTGTCTATAGTCTCCAACCATCTCCTGCAGTGTGTCTATAGTCTCCAACCATCTCCTGCAGTGTGTCTATAGTCTCCAACCATCTCCTGCAGTGTGTCTATAGTCTCCAACCATCTCCTGCAGTGTGTCTATAGTCTCCAACCATCTCCTGCAGTGTGTCTATAGTCTCCAACCATCTCCTGCAGTGTGTCTATAGTCTCCAACCATCTCCTGCAGTGTGTCTATAGTCTCCAACCATCTCCTGCAGTGTGTCTATAGTCTCCAACCATCTCCTGCAGTGTGTCTATAGTCTCCAACCATCTCCTGCAGTGTGTCTATAGTCTCCAACCATCTCCTGCAGCGTGTCTATAATCTCCAACCATCTCCTGCAGCGTGTCTATAATCTCCAAACATCTCCTGCAGCGTGTCTATAGTCTCCAACCATCTCCTGCAGCGTGTCTATAGTCTCCAACCATCTCCTGCAGCATGTCTCCATTCTCCAACCATCTACTGTAGCATGTCTATAGTCTCCAACCCCTGCCCACGCTCCACACGCCGCACCTCCTCCCCACCTCACGATTGCCAATGCCAGACCTGCACACGCCGCACCTCCTCCCCGCCTCACGCTTGCCACTGCCAGACCTGCCCACGCTCCACA